AGTTTTCTCACTTTTACGGTTTAAGAAATTCTATAGTATTTATTTAACGTTCTTGACCTACGCGCAACCTTTGATGCTCCCACTTTTTAAAATTCCCAGAGTTTACCTATTCTTACTTTTATTTAAAGTTTTTCTGCATAATGTGGACTGTAAATTGATGAAACTTAGTCATGGGAAGATGAGCGTTTGAAATGGGATAAAAAGGAATGGCAACTGGATGAATATACATTACACGATGCTCATCACATATGGAAACCTACAATTAACGATGAATATTATTTGGGGTTATGAATTTAGTTTGTTAATATAAAGTATGGCTTAAATATTGTTTTCAAACATTACCAGAAGTAAGTTTCATTGGTAATGTTTATCATTAGAAGTGTTTTGGTTATGAATATGGAATTTTCTTAACTGACAAGTAGAAAGTGAAAATGATAATGGTTAGATGAAAAAAATTGACTCTGTTTATTCAACTTCTAGATGTAATATTGGTTGTTCTTTTTTTAATTACTGAGAATCAGCTGAAATAAAATTTTGTTTCAAGACAGTGCAACACAGTTCAAGGTTGTTACACAACAGTACAAGAAATTGATATATTCTCAAGTGGAAAAGTCGTGGCACTCTACTCGTTTCATTATCCAGCATTTTGTAATGTTAATTATTACAGGTTCATACTTTCCTCTAGATAGAGTAATTAATTCACTATCTGTCTTGAAATAATTGTTAACGTTTGGGATGACTGACTATTTTCTATGTTGTAATGTACATTTCTATATTATAACTAGCATTATTTCAATTGTCCAAACAGATCTGTTGTTAAATTATTACTCATCCAACAGATTAATTAGTTCCCATTTCATTTCATTTCATTTTCTTTTTTTTTTTTTTTTTTGATATAAAATTGGTTTTAGATACCCGGAGGAAGAAAATGATTGCTGCTTGTTCTTTTCACTTGGTGATCTAAATTCCAATCGAAAAGTGCATTTTGAATTGAAAGCTGAGAGTAAAGCAACCATATCACAAGTCGTCAAAATGGAAAGGATGGCGAATGGACTGATAAATCCCACCGATGAACATTCTGCGTGGATGTTGGAGGTTGTATTTTATTCTTTTATATAGCTCTTTTTGTAATATTCAAGTTCGGATTTTAGTAAAGGATGAAATTTTGAAATTAATTAGACAGTTTTAAGCACAAATACTTTTAATATCTTAAATATCTTCAATTGAAACAGCTGAAAAAAATTATAATTTAATATCTTCAATTTTAATTTTTTTCAGCTGTTTCAATTGAAGATATTCATTCTTCGTACTTCATACTAATCAGTTAATATTCATTCTTCGTACTTCATACTAATTTTAGCATCGCACTGTAGCGATAACTAAAATGAGTGGTTCGAATTTCGAACTTCTTCACGTTTGTATCCATGCTCGAAAGCAAATGTCAACCTTACGCATTGCTTTGCGTCTTCCAGTCTCCATTACAACGATGCTTATGCTTGCTTCACCCCTTTTCGGACATCTAACCACTCAGATTTACGTTAAGCTCTTCGCTTTCTCGCTGCAAACTGTGTCTTTTATTTTCCTTTGTTCCATCTCACCGGAAAATGGTTTTGGAAAAACAAAACCGAAAATTTGCAAGTTTTTAGTTTTAATGTCAAGTTAATAATAAATGATATTGCTAACAATGACTGTTTGTATTAGATGAAACAAAAGTTGTATCGTGATTCAATCATGAAATTTAAACCGAGCTAATTATTAACTGGCAAACATCATTGCTGAATTCAGTTAATAAGTGTCGTTCTTGCCAGTGTGATAAAATGATTAATTTGAATGAAATTTCATAAAAAACCTAATTTAAAAAAAAATGAATAAAACATTTCCAAAGTGAGATCCTAAGTTTTAACCTGGCGAGATAACTAGTTAGTATTGTTCATTCCAGACACGTTCTTTGAAACGATTGTTGTTTTAACAGTGATCAGCATAATGGTTAATATGATTGCAATAGCACTGAGTAGAGTTAGGCGTACTATACCTCCACGACATAATTTTTATCTGGCATCTAAAGTGATCAATCATCTCATTTGCTGTATCGGTTAGTTTTCTATCTCGTGATTAAAAAGTGAAAAATAGGACTAATTTTTAAAGGAAGAAATTTTGATAGGCATGAATTCTTATATGAAACAAGTTTCCTTTAAATATGCTATTTCTGTCACAATTTAGTGTTTGTGTTGTGAAAATTTTCAAGTGAATTAGATTTAAAATGGATTAGAGTCAAAATTTTGGAGGAGTCACAATATAATTAAAAAAGATTTAAATCTATAGTTTTAACTAAGATAATATATTTTTAGAACCGGATCCAACTGCTAGCTACTTCCGACATTTGGACGACTATACCCAAACAAATTTTGAAAATTCTCAGCCAGATTATACAACAGAATGGCGACATATTTATATTGCTTCTAATAATCTTTTTTCAGCATTCGCTTTGATTGCTTTCATTATTGTTGCTGTTTTCGAAATTTTATAATCCCTATTTCCTTATAAAAAAGTTGGAAAAAAACTTCCTTTATCGCGTCCATTGGATTTATGAGTTAGAAACTTAAGAATACATGAATTGAAATAAAGCAATAAAAAAGAGATGTAGTGTACATATTGTTGGTATTTATTTATTTGAAATGTGTTTGTGTGGAATTCTTTGTCTTATTTCTCGATACCTATTTATAGTGTTGATTCTTCTGTATCATCGTAAGAGAGATTTCATTTATTATTTAACTGATAGACATTATCAATTTGTGGTTTTTATACTTTTCAATAGTTGTCCTTTATAAAAGCTGTATTTCTATTCATGTCTACTAAAACAATTATTATTCATTAACCCATAAATTATTAGTAATATTTATAGTTGTTTACTTATTCTGTTTATGGACCAAAAGTCTTATGTTTTATGTGCAGGACTCATAAACTTTCGATAATTTAAAGTTAATTGGAAAAGCTTAAAGGGTATAACAAACAGTGAAAGGTATTCTGTTGAACGATGAGGGAATTTGGTTCGAGTCAATTAATATTTATAAGATTCTTTCATTGTATAGTTCAGTGTACCGCTTTCAATTTGTCAAGCAGTTCAAGTTTTGAAACTTCTAAAGTCTACGAAGATAGAGTTGAAAGAATGTTTGAATTATTACAAAGAAGTATGAAATGTCATGAAGTGTGTGAAAAACAGAGTAAATTCAGTGATGAAGAAGAGTGTATGCATAGCGATTAAGAAAAAAGTGGTGATAACAAGTAATAATAACAATTAATGATATTAATAGTAATAATAATAATATTAATGAAATTTTAATAATAATAATGATAATAATAAATAGTAATAAAAGAATAACAACAGCAATAAAAGCTACGCTATTATTATTTTGCTAAAAAACATTTATATAGTTAATATTTTTTAACATTTATTATTTAATGAAAGCTTAAATATTATTTATAAATAAGAGCCAAGAACAAATAATATTTTAATTATATTTGATAAAATTAAACTAAGCAAAAAATTGTTGTGACAAAGTAAATTTTAATTGTGATAATTACTTCTGAAAAATTATTTCATATATTGTCGAATACGGCTTATAAAAACACATTTTCCTCTTATTTTTATCGCATATTTGATATATTTATTAACTTTGTATTACTTTATATTTTGACGTACGTAAGTCTGATTCAATACAAATGCAAAATTTTCTCTTTCCTTACTTTATGCTAATATTTGGTTTATCAATTTCAATAATTTTGATATAATTAATAGTTTGAATGACATGCTAGTGCTATTATTGAAGGACGTCATAAAACGACAAAAACAATAACCGTTCGTCTTCTTGATTAAAGAAGATTACAGTAATTAGATGAAAATGCGGAAAACGAACAAAGGAAAAGGAAAGACAGAATCACCCGGATAACTTTATCAGTGTAGTTCTGTCATTTACCGGTGATGCTGATAAAACGGTGTAGATGAAATCGTAAAACCGGTCGAGGAAGTTTGCATTTATTTCTCTAAGCTGCCAATAATTTGGGTGTCAAGTTTTCTTCATCGACTGGTTTTAACATTTTCCTGAAATATTTAGTAGCGGTATGTTCCGGAGGAATTTTAGAGATAAATAGATCAATAAATAAAAAAGAGAAATTCAAAAAGGTGCAAGTATCATTAATAACCCATTATTAATGAGTTGTTTATCTTTTTTATTTTTTTGCTTCCATTTTTTACGGTTAAACTATTTGTAATATGGAGGATTTAAATTTCAATTTAAACTTGAGATACTGTTCTATTACAAAAACAGCTTTTTCGATCGGAAGTTTTATTTGCTATTATCATTCCTAGTAGCGAGTGGTTGTACGCAAGATCGTCTTTTTTTAGGTATCTTAATTATAAACCATTTCCGAAGTAAATTGTGAAAGGGACGATTTGTTTTAAAGTCTCTTTTGCGCATACATTCAATCAAGCGAAATTTTTAGAAAATCAATTTTATGTCATTAGATCAATGCATCAATCGTTTATTATGTCGAGAAAATCTTTTATAATAAACATTCTGTGACCTAGGAAATCTCGTTGAGTAAAGATTCATCTTTTTGCTAATGACTTATTATACCATTCGAATAGCGAATCTAGATTTAAATTTCAATTACTGCACTTATTCTTCGCTCAAACACTTACTTATCATCAACGTTCAGTAATGTTGTATTATTATATTAGAACTTAAAGATAATATATAGTGAAAAGCAAAAAAGAAATACTTTAAATGTTATTGTTAGAGAGTTGTTAACCGTTACTGAAATCTTGAATATTGCTATTTTCAAGTGCCTTTGAAGGTTTACTGAAATAATATCTAAAAACGATTAATTGTTTGGCTTCAGTTCTAGCCAAACAATTAATTTCAAAATTTTTGGAAAGCAGTGATGTTTATCCGGTTGTCCTATAATTAAAAGTCTTTTAGTGACATCACAATTAAACTGAGATGGATATAGAAGGACTGAATATGCTTGTTTGGGCACCTGATGATAAAGACGGATTCGTTTTATGCAAAATTGTTGACATCGGTTGCGAATGGGTAACATTACAACGACTGCATGAAACGAAAACTGAAACGGTGCGGACATTACTTAGAGCTGGAAAAAGCTATAACTTGAATAATTGAATCATTTCTAAAGATAATCAAGATCAATTTAAATTAAATTATTTACTTTAGTTCCAAGCTTTTTACGATAATATTTTCCCTGCCGGAGAAGATATCAGTCGAGATGTCGATGATAACTGTAAACATTTTATCATTAAAATCAAAAATTTTTCTTCTAAATTAGAACAATAAATAGCGTTTATTTCCTACAAAATTTTCTAATACAGAATACACGTTCTGTGAGGTAGCTGAGCCAAAATAAAGTCGAGAATGGAAATTTGAATCTGTAAAAAAATGAAGAAATAAAAACTGCACGCTAGTCATTTTCAGGTTCATTGATTTACCTAAACGATGGTTCCCTTTTGAATAACTGTCGTTTGCGCTATAATCGCAAACAATTTTACGTAAATTTTATTTGTCGCTAAATTCCGTTCTTAATCTTCGAAATCCTTTGAAATTTCAAAATATTGCTTTCTGTTTACTAAGAAGCTGAATAATTAAATAAAAAATTTAAGGCTTTTCTCTTAGGTTAGTTATCTAGGGATATCGTCCAGAATGGGTAGGCAGTAATGTTGACAAATATAAGGCAAATATAAAAATTCTACCACTAAAGATATGGTTTAATTATTAGTGTGAAGTAAAGTGTTATTTCATTCATCAATTTTCTTCAGTTTTTTTTTAGTGTAACAATGAGTTTTATAGACTTACGTGGCTAATATACTGATTGCGATCAATCCGTACGAGCAAATTTCTTCTTTATACGATATCGAAATGGTGCACAAATACAAAGGGAAGTCGTTAGGAATTTTACCTCCACATATATTTGCCATTGGTAATTGTTGAATGATATGCAAATCAAAGCCAGGGATTTAGTAATAGAGAACCAATAGATTTTTTGATGAATGATCGAGATTGAGAAAGACCTGAAAGAGAATGTTTCTGAATGTAACCACATGTAATGTAATTATTTTAAGCTGATAACGCTTATCGTGACATGATGAGTAATCATAAATCACAATCGGTCATAATATCGGGAGAATCCGGAGCAGGTAAAACTGAATCTCAAAAGTATATAATCCGATTTTTATGCGAATCTTGGGGCCATTTTGTGGGAACAATTGAGCAGCGCATTTTAGAAAGTAAGCATTTAAACTAAGATTTTAATCATTTAATTGCATGAATACAGCGATTTTTGCCCAAAAACCAAAAAAAGAGTATAGCAGTATACCAAAGTGATCAGCAAATATTTAATGATATATACTTTCATAGCAGAGTTAAACAGTAACTTACAAAACCCGTCAATTTAATTATCACTTAATGAAGCATTTGTAATCATTTAATTATTTACTCGGTAAAAAAAAAGCTACTGGGATTTTTCCCATATTCAGAAAATTTTCATTATTTAAATTTTATTTTTTTGTTATAGAACTTTAAAAGAAGAAGAAAATAAACATTTCTAGTAAACTCAATGCTCAAAATTGTTTGGTTTGCAATGAATCAAAACAAAATTCAGTTACAATACTACATTTATTTCAATTATTAGATCTTAGATTCTTCACATAATATTAAATATTCTTGTAATTAATTATTTAAAATTTAGTAAGTACAATTTTGGAATCATTTGGAAATGCAAAAACATCATGCAACAATAACAGCAGTAGATTTGGCAAATTTGTTGAAATACATTTCAATGAAAAGGTTACACAACAGTTTTCGTGTTGCAGAAATTCATATATAACTGGGAGAATTCATTTATTTACTATTAGTGAATAAGTGCATAATGGATTTATTTACTGAATTTTTTGAAGAGTAGAGCTGAAAACAGAGTACCATAATGTTTCGGAAACTATGAAAACTTTTGTATAAGAAAGTTTTAAAATAGGAAGTTCTGAATTCAGCAGATTCTGGATAACATGTCTGAATCAAGGAGCGCTAAGCATTTCAGAAATACTTCATTCAGTATTTTAGAACTTTCAATTTGGTCACAGTTTTGGCATTACATAGTAAATAATGAGGCAATCTTGAATAAACTTTCTTCGTATTTATTTGAATTCAGTCCTATAATTCGTATTTCGCTGAATTGATGAGGAAAAAACTTGTGTGCTTTTCATATAACATTTAGAATATGTATTTTTGATAAATTATACTTTAACTAAACTCTTTTTAGGGCATTATTGTGGGTGGCTTTGTTTCACATTACTTATTAGAACGTTCACGCCTTTGTGGACAAAATGCATGCGAAAGGAATTATCATATATTTTATCAATTGATTGCTGGTGCTGATGATCGAATGGCAAATAAACTGAAATTAAATAAATTGGAAAATTTCAATGTTAGTTCATTCCACTCACTTTCATTTAAAATTGAACTTTTTGAACTTTCAATCTATCTGTATATTTTAACAAAGTCTATTGTTTTAGTATCTTAATAAAGGATGTATACAATTCTTTTTGAACAAAGAAAATTCGAATAAAATAGTACCAGGAAGAAAAAATTATGATTTGGTGAGGATGACAATTTATTTTATTGTGCTTATTTCTCACTTCATCATTTAAATCATTAACAATTTATGTGACTGTTCAATTCATAATTAAAAATTCTAAAACTGATTTTAGATCATTTCTGAAAGAGTTGTTTTTTGTTTGTCCAATAACAAGAATAGATTTCCCAATTTTAAAAATGACAATTGAGGATGACATGCGAGATGATTTGATTGACGATTACAACGATTTCCAAAGACTGCTGGGTGCATTTAGTCAAATAAATGTCTCAGAAGACATTCGAGACGAAGTGTTCGAAATAGTTGCCGCAGTTTTACATCTCGGAAATATTGAATTTTTAGATGAAACAATTGATTACAAAAGTGATTTTCAAGATTTATAAGACAATATCAGTTAAGTACTGGATTTCAATTGAGCAGCTAATTATCCATTAACAAAGTTTCAGTTATACATTAATACTAAAATGAATTTGAAAATTTCAAACTGTAGATGAAGACGTAAACATTTTAAAACAAAAAAAGACAGACGACACTTCGTTGTTAGAATGTTCATGAAAATATATTTATATGAGTGAAAATTAGTAAAACATCATAGATGAAATAAAAATCCTAGTCTTATAGGTGGTTAAAAAACGCTTTCACTTTATAATTAATTACAAATTATAATTATACTTATTAAAAAATCCGATGGATAATTTTAACCTCGAAGATAATGAAAAATTAAAAATAAGCCAATGAATAGAATCATAAAAATTGGTATGAAGAAATGTCAACAGATGATTTAAATTGCAGGTGGTTGTAAACTTACAAAAGGAAGCGAGATATATTTGGTTAATACAGCTGAATTACTTGGTATTGAAGTGATCGATCTGAGAAAGCATCTTGTAACTCGATTGATGCAACCCACTAGAAGTGGAACTAAAGGGACACTTTATGCGTTAGTTATTCGGAATTGATCTTTCCAACTTAAAACTTTTCTCTGATTCTATAAAAACCTACTGGCAATAAAAAACATTAACTACCTCTAAAAATTTAATTTCTTCCCACTTTTTTCTATCTGTCCCAACTTCAAGTATTCTCTCAAATCATCAGTACTTCTGCCTAAACTGAAGGATTGCAAAACACTGAAGATCAAGAAATATCCATCTGTTAAGGACCTTGTTCATGAGATTTTTAGTCGCTCCCCTTCCAACTTAATTTCTAACTTCACTCAACATCCTTTGTGGTAGATGTGGCCATGGTTTTAATTTTAATTTCATTGGAGATCCACTCTTTTGCTTATATTTTCTTCTCTTTGATTTTACAGTTTCAACTATTCAAGCATGGCAAGAACATTCTTAACTGTTCTATTAGCAAACTTGATAAAAGCATTTTACATCTTTAACTAAAGCATTTTACACACCGGATGTCGGATATGATAAGAGCATTGCATATTCTTAGTTCTTCTGCTCTTTATTGTAAGTACAACCTCACTTGTCTGATTAGGAAATTCAGATGGAAATTTACAGATATAAGAACTACAATTACTGCATTCTGTATTGTAGAGTACCATTGCGCGCCAGTGAAGCAAGTGCCGCCCGTGATGCTCTCGCCAAAGCCATCTACAGCAATTTATTTACTGCAATCGTTAACAAAATCGCAGAATGCATGCCATTCCATGAAAGTGCCTTTTCAATCGGTGTATTAGATACAGCTGGTTTCGGTACTTTTTTGTCCATGTCGTGATTATTCATTTCTGGTTGCCATCACTCCGTAATCCTCTGTAAATATTTCAAATTCATATGAAACCTCTATTAATTTGCTTATTCCTTAAAAAAATTACTATCTTAAAGTAAAAGTTAACCTTTCTACTTATTTCAGAATCATTGGATGTAAATTCTTATGAGCAATTTTGCATAAACTATTGTAATGAAAAGTTGCAAAATTTTTTCAATGAGCGAATTTTGATGGATGAGCAAAATTTATACTGCAAAGAGCAATTGCACTGTGATACTATTGAATTCAATGATAACAAAGATTGCATTGGTTTGGTTATTTTGAATAACATTTCATATATTGGTATTATGAGCTAGAGTGAATTAAATTAGCAGAAATTAATATTGCCACAGAAACATATTCCTTTTTTAAATTTTAACTTTTTAAAATTTGAAAGACATGAAAGGTAGATGGAGTCACTGCATACTTTTTTGTTTTGCAGAATTATTTGAACAAAAGGTATACGGCATCTTTGAATTATTGGACAATGAATCACGTTTGCCACGTTCCTCAACGCAACATTTCACGAGAGCAGTGCATGAAGCCCATATTTGTCATCCTTGTCTAATGGTTCGTCTTCATTCTTGAAAACGTGTTTTCTATTTTTTGCTATGCGTCATAAATCAGAAATTCAGCAACGACCAATTAAAGTTTCAATAAAAGTCAAAAAAGCTATTAGTGATTGATACTTTAAAGCAAAGAAAGAAAATGGTTGGCTCTGCAAAAGGACCGCCAACAACGATTTTCATTCTTTATTGCAGTGCTCGGAGCAAAAACCGTAGATTACACCTTAACGAGAACTACTGGTCATATCGATCAGTAACTGATCTACTGATTAGATTTTACAGTTTAACACAAGTCTATATTACTTGAATATCTTAAAAATTTTCCATAACATTTCCACCCTAGGTTATTTATTTGATACTGCGATGAGGTATTTGAAATAGCAGAATGAAAGTTTATACTTCAATATTATACAAGATTAAAATGTATCACATAACAAATAATGAATGATTAAAAACCTACGGAGCTCAATTAAGAATAATTAAACAGAACAGTGATAATTTCAAAAGAAATTGTGCATTTGCAACGAGTAAGTATGCCATCTAAAATGAAATATGGGTTTTATACAAGGTGTAAGATCCGCTATACAGGTACCGCAGTCATCACGTCGTCATCGGACGATGCGTGACGATGAAGGTTTTATCATTTGCCATTATGCGGCTGATGTTTGTTATGATACCGCTCAGTTCCTTAATAAGAATAATGATACTTTACATGCATCACTGCAGTGTCTCATGCAGCAGAGCAGGTCTGTTACTCAGAAATATTTTCCGGAATTACAGACTTTAAGCCTTTCAAATATCTTCTTGGATTATATTCTTCAAAATTATAGTCGTTCCCAAAATATTCCGTTTAAGGAAAAGCTTAGTGTATGAACTGTTTGCTGATAACAAATTTTCAAACACCGACAGAAGAGATGTATCGCAGAGCAAATTGGTGAATGCTTCGGTTGGAAACAAATTTCGCTCACAACTTGATATTTTGCTATCGAAATTACGTGAAACGGTAAATTTCAATCAGCTGATAATTTTTTACATAATTTTTTTAAAATAAAATGAAAACGGTCCTTGTTGCGTCACTTTTATTTCTGGTATTGTTCTCGAGATATCTTACTTAGTATTCACTGAAAACTCCGCCTTTGTTCATTTAAAAGAATTTTGTTTGCTTAAGGGAACTCATTTTGTACGATGCATCAAGCCGAATTCAGAAATGAAATCTAATCAATTTGATGGTGCACAAATTTTATTACAACTGAAGTGCTCTGGAATGTCCAGCGCGCTAAAAGTTATGCAGCGAGGATTTCCATCAAGGTAAGTTCTTAATGTCTAAATTTTTGTCCACCAAATTTAAGCAATGATATGTCTTTTATTTTCCATTACGGATAAATAACGCCAAACTTCAGAATACTGCTAGAATTCTTATGTTTATTGAACTATGATTTATGCAAATCTCTATCATCTAAAGTTTAGTTCAAAATAATAATCTTTACCTGCTGAGATTTGATGTCAAAGGTCACTGTTGTCAACTTTCCTAAATAATCATAAAAAAGTAAAATTTCTATGCACTACAGAATATCTTACCTCTCACTATATAATATATATCAAAAACATTTACCAAGCAGACTTATGACGCTCGATGCTCAATTACTTTGCAAGGTAATTTTGCAACTCAATTTAAAAATGAAAACTCCCTGAGTTTTATGCAATTTTTTTTTTTGAGTTCATTCCTAAATAACTTTTGAAAGGAATTTCATTTCAGTGCCTATTTCGAGTAGTTGGCTTGGAAGAGAAAGATTACAAATTTGGTCTCACCAAAGCATTTTTCCGACACGGAAAATTTGCTGAGTTTGACAAGGTTTTATTAAAAAATAAACTTCGGAGCTAGCTAGGAAAGAAAATCTTTAGTTCTTTATATTCCAAAGACTAAATCACAAAATTTTTCATTCAAGATTTGAATTTTCAATGTTACCTTATTTCAGATACTACATATAAATAAAGAAAGTATTGAAAACTTGATTGAACGTATGTCGTCTTGGTTGTATCGCTTTCGATTCCGAAGAACACAGTTTGCAGTTATATGCTTAGTCAAAGGTGATATTGGGAAGAAATTCCTAATTTTCACATACTACTACTTTTATTAAGCCCTAATTATCTGTTTCAAAGGAAGTTGATTATTTCAGTAGATAGATTGTTGACATACAGGGCAAAGTGCCGCATCAAAATTCAGAGCGCTGTTCGTACTTATATACTGCAAAAGTTATATCGGCCAAGGTAGTGTTGCTTGACTCATCTAAAATGAGTTTAGAAATATTTTTGAACTCATCAATTCCCTAGATACTTCTCTTCCTGCAAATAACTTTAAAAAAGAAGCATCTTTCTCGAAATTCATAGTTTTTAATTTTAAATGGTGTTATATCTTCGCATTAGATATATTTTGTACTTCAGGATAAATGCTTTATCAACCTTATCGGCATTGTTAGAAAGCATAAATGGTATGTATCCTTTAATTAATAAACTGAGCGAAACGGATTTATGCAAATGGACAACTTTTATTGTCGCTTTGAAAGAGGATATTAAAAGACTCAAAAATGAAATGAAGGCAAAATTATTTGAGCTAAAGTTGAATCTGATTTTTCTTCATTATGAGCGTGTATTACTATCATTTTTAGTTCGATTTGTTCAGAAAAGAAAAGAAGTGCTGTGCATTATATTAAAAGAAATAAAAATGGCAATTTACCTGAATGAGAGCAATAACTTGACAAAATATAGACATGGTTTTTTCAAAGCTTTAAAGGTGAAAATAAAATTTCAGCATATCACATCTTCAACTGATAAAGAAATACTCCGTCAATGTGATGCATTGGTGAACGATGCGAAAGAAAAGTTAAAATGTTTGAGGTCAAGTTCACTTGTATGTGTTGTTTCTGCAAGGGCACCCAATTCTATTTCATGTCCTAGAGATTATTCAAATTTTGGCTTATCATTGTGATAAGACTTTCTGATATCTTGCTGTTTAACATAAATAAAGTAGGACTAATTTATAGACAACAAGTTGCTACTGGTGGGCTATTGGAATTGCAGGTGGAGTGTGAAAATTTTGAAGTGGAACAACAAAGTCAACTTAAAAATGAGTTCAAGTGACTGTTTCTATAATGAAAAATTAGTTGCTTAAATGATTCGTTTTTAAATAAACTTCTAAGAAGCATGATATAAAAACGTGATAATGAGAATTGATAAGTTTTAATCTTAGAATGCACGTGCTAATAAATTCTAACCTTACAGTCAGCAAATTAAAGAGGAGGCACAAGGAACTCAACAGATGACAAAGAGTTTAGATGAATCATTGGAACGTAAAGTTATTATGACTACCAAGGAAAAGGGTCAACTGCTGTAAGCTTATTTATAGAAATATCTCAATAGAAACTTCTTAATCAAGTAAATTAAAATAATGAATTCTTTTTCCACCTTAAAAAACATCTAATATTCAGAGAAAATAGCCATATTATTCAAGTATGTGATTTGTCCAAATGGTATTATATTAATATCAGAAATGGTATCAATTCCAGTGGTATGTTTTTATTGTAATCTGCAAAAAATAAAAAAATAAAAGTAACTTCGTGAACTTAGTTAGATGAGAAAAAAATAGGAGAAAAAGAAAACAAATTTACTGAAATAGTAGTCAAATAGTAGTTAATCATGATCTTCGCATTTCTCAAAATGATTCACAAGAACGGCACTGTTCGGTACTAATCTTTAAATCATAACTTGATTTGTAATTGTTGGTTTTGTAAGAATAGAAAAGAGATTGCATTATTTGAATAAATTAAATTAACTGAATATAACAAAGAAATAGATGCAGTAATTTCTTTAAACAAATAAAAGGAAGAATTCATGTAGTACTTGTGATCCGTTAAGATCCGAAACTGTCATCAGCATGCAGAAATGAATATTACCGTCGTATGAGAGCTTATAGTGAATGGAAAGAGCGAAATTTGGCTTTCAAAGAGTTAACCTACATGACAGAAAGAAATGGAAACAAAGGTTTGAAGCAATGAATCAAATTAATTACTCATTCTGTATTGTTCCAATGTTTGATGCTTTCAACCTGTGTTTATTATTTTAAAAATGCGAGTGCTTCAAATCTGAATAAATTTAAAAAATATAACATTAGGTGGGACTTCTACATATTTTTGTTAATTTAAATTATTGTAACTTTATTGTACCATAATGTTCCACAGCTCTCTTCAAAGCACTGTTTATGGTTTAGAAGACGAAGATCATGAGATCTCATCAGATCGATATTTTCGAATTGTTGCTTCTCGCCTTACAAATCGAGAAAAAAATTTATTCGGTAAGGCTCACTGATTCATATTTTCACTGATTAATTCTTTATAATTCCTTTACAAAGAATATTTGAGAAACCAGATATGTTTTGTTTTTTTTCAAAATAAAACAGCAATTTTTGCAAATTTTACTCATCATTCTTTAACCATTCCAGAAGTTAGTGATGTATCTAATATAATGATTTAGTAATCCGTTAAACTTTCTAAACTTCAATTAATAATACCGTCTGTTTTGGCATTTTAATATAAGGATATGTTCGCATAGCTCTGAATGATGTTATCAGACAAAAATTGAGATTGCTTTAGGGATTATGGGGAAAAGTCATTTTACAGTTTGGTATGGTCATTTCAAGAATGAGTTCATCTACCGCCAAATAGAAATTTCGCCCAAAAAGTCTCCAATTTTAAATGTAGCCGGTAATTAGTTTTTTATTCTTCGAAGTTGAAGTTTATTTTTACATTAATTTAATAACTGATTTCTCCCCTTCTTGATTCATCTAAAATATTTGCAAATCTTTTGCAGTCTTTTCAAACTATTCACTATTAGAATTATAAAAGCCTTAAATTTTTAAGTAATTATTTTAGGACAAAATAATAAAAATATGTGCAAATTATCGTTGAAAAAGACGACTTTAAGTAAACGTAAAGGTGTCGAAATCAGCGCTGCACGTTTCGATCGAATATGGATGGGAAATGGCGGAGATCCACATTTATGTTCTTCTGAAATTATATGATCACAAAATGTTCAGCGACTTTCAATTATGTAAATACCAAAACCAGCACCTTACCTTTCTCACTATGAAATCAAATTTATGACCTGTCCCTCCTGCAGGTTTTCTTTAGGCATCAATATTCGCTATTAGAGCAATTTCCTAAAATATAACTACTGATTTAACATACATCCATGAGTTTATAACAGACAGATTAACGTTTGGCATCACGTCTTTCACGTCATTACTTATTCTTTCTTGCGTAATAAATGCATGAACCGTAATATATTTTCACTGACTGTGCCATAATAAAAATAGTTGTGCTGCAGAATGCGTTCTTATCCCTTCTTTCATTTGTTCTACTCTGTGCACACATAGCATCCAAAATTTGCATAAATGGATGGTTTATTGTCACATCTTTGTTTGTCTTTTGTTAGCCTTTTATTGTCGTTTGATAGAACGGAATGCATTTCTATTAATTTATTCAAATTTTTAGTGTAGAATGACTTTAGTAATATCCTTTGCTTTTTTAAATTGTACGGAATTCATGATTCTTAACACTTTGAAAATCTTCAAATAAGGTTGTGGAAATCACAGGTTACGTCTCTTTTCATTACGAAAAATGACTTGAGCAAAGACTAGGCCTATTATAACTTTGTGTTTTGTTTTTTATCTGCTGTCTAATGCTAACGGACAAGTGTTGTACAACTCTCAATATCTTGGTGCTTATAAGCTTCAGATGGCAGAATAACATGCAAGAAGATCCAGAATAGAAAAGCGATTAAAAAAAACAAATTGAAATCTTGAAGTTTGGAACTACTATTCCTCCTAATTTAGCTAAATCCATCTTGATCTACAAAAACGCTTGCTCTCATGTCTCATCACAGTGATGGATGAGCAGATCAGCATAATTTCCAAAAGCAAAAAAAAAAGAAGGGTTAATTGCTGACTATATATTGGCTGGGAAGATTTTTGTTAAGATTGTGATACAAATAGTGTTGAATTCAATTTTTGATTCAAATAGCTGTGATCAGTTTTTCTTTAAGAATCAATTATCTGCTTCTTAGAGATATGAATTGTTAGTTTTTGGCTGCTTTTATAAAAAAAAAAGTGCTAACGTCCAAGACTTCGTCTGCTTCGGTTTCGATTTATGGGAATCATATTCGGCATATTCGGTATAATTTTAATTTTATTCAATCGCCAATGTGAATTGCAATGATGTGATAAAAATTAATGTGTGGTGAAATTAGATGTCATTTCAAGTTTCAATAGACTGCAACAGGACAATCTTATCAATAGTTTGCTTAGAAAAATAGCAATGACATGAATTCGCGATGCTTCTCAATGAATATCACTATAATCGACGCTGCTTCTCACTGAATATCACTATAATTTACAGGAAATAAAATGTCAAGAAAATCGAAACTGGATAGTGACAAGGTATCTGACATCTTCCAACCAGGTATTCTTTCTATAGTGTTATAGCTATAAGTAACAAATGGAAAATGAGTTTAGACCTATTTTAATATCTCATATTATTAATATTTCTATCACATTTCTACTCTATTGCTTATTTTATTTCCTGTAAAGCCAATTTTATTGAAGAAAAATTTGCACATTTAACATTAAATAAATAAATATATATATATATATTACAAAAAAGCCATAGTAAAAAATATATATTATGCCAGGTCTTAATTCCAAAGAAAAGTCTATTATTCACGCGATTGACAATTGCAGTTGCTGTCGCATACATTTCCTCTTTTTGCATGTTATCTTTCGATTATAAGTATGATAGCCTAGAAAACCTTCCGAAGATTTGAAACATCGGCTAGTCATTTGGAAGATTTATTTTTTTGTGAGCTAATTCAATTATAATAAACAGAGATAAGCATTCCGAAGAAAAGGGATTGTAGAGATTAGGATAGAGAGGAAGAAGATAAAGAAAGTTCTCAAGTTTGCATTATTTCTCTATGTATTCATAATAGTTATATTCAGGCTTCAACAAAACTTTTATATTTTTAGACGAAAAAGCTTCGAAATCAATGACTGAGACGAATATCACCTGCAAAAAGGAAATACCAAAATATGTCAGACGACAAGGTGAGGCAACGGAGACAAATGAGCCACAAAAAACAGACCCATTAGAAATAACTAATAGGAAGGAAAGCGTTGCTATGAGTGCCGTCTATCAGTCAGAAATCAGAGGGAATGCTTTTAAATCATTGGAAATTACTGAACAAAAGGTCAGTGCGAAGAATGTTACTGTGACTGATATCAAGAAACTGACGATAGATGAAAAAGTTATTCCGAAAGAATCTTTGGGACGTTCTGAACAAAAAAAGGTAACGTTAGACAATAACGTTGTGGGTGAAATCAGTGAAGCATCAGGCAAGGAAAAATGCATTCAAAAAGAGAAACTACTGATAACTGCTGATCAGGATGTAATTTCTTCAGACGGATCTGGATCTTTTAGCAACAAAAAATTGAACACAGCTGAAACTACTTCTTGCAGAAATTCAAAAGCAAACGTAACAGGGGTACTCCTTGACCCATCAAATTGTGGAAGCGGTAGGTTTAACTTTGACGTTGAATTCCTGAGAAAATTTCCTAGAAAGTAAAGTAGCTCGTGATGGAAAAGTGGTAATGAAATGTAGCTTCATATAGTTAAAATACTGCATATCAGTTCATATAAAAATATGATGTTCGGGTTGAATTTATGATCCTTGGCTTTATTAAAGCTCCTTCCAGATTTACATCGTTAGTTAACATGACCATACTTACAGTGACCGATGACCCTTCATGCCTGAAAGACCGGAAAAATATCTCACTTGATTTTTTTGGCTGAAATTTTTATTGGGATAGATGGGAAGTTTTTAATTAATTTTGCCTTTTAATTTCCATCACTAACCTAGACTTCTGAGCTGTGCAAATTTATTCTTTATTTAATGCATATTGTCGTAGAGCGAAGGAAAAGAAGAGGTCAATCGATCTCATTGCATGAGGTCAACTAATATCACACTGACCTTCTGATTCTTAGTGGCCCATTTTGTGTTGTTCTTCTGCTGTTTTCCACTCTTTCTCTTCTTTCACTTTATTAATTATTACCTAAATTAATTCTTTTTTCGGCAAAATTGTTGAACTTACTTTGGTCATTTAGTATTATGGTATCAGGAAGCTATAATCCATTTTAATGAGGATAATTTCAGCCGAGAAACCCGAAAGCAGTAAAGTTTTGGTAGAAGTATCAATCGTATTAATAAGTGGTGAACTAAAAGTTCGAATCAGATCGAAGCAAATTGCAGAACGAATTCTAAAAATGAATTCAGAAAGCGAAACTGATAGCAGTGTTAGTGAGATCGATTTCGTAGTTTTGAATAAAGAAAATCAAGAAAAGCGGAAGATTGAGAGCAGTGAAGGAAATAAAGAGAGATGGGAAGTAACGTTGAATCCAGAACAATCACAAGGAGGAAAAGTGCTTATGGAACCGAAGATTAAGGGAAGAAATGAGCAGCTATTGAGGGATGCGCATCAATCTTCAGATGATGTAATTACAGCTATCCAAACGATGAACAAATCGGGAAGAACAGTTTCTTCCAGTATTAGCAATTTGGAAGTAATTAGTGTTATTACGGAAATTATAGATTTCACATATAGGTAAGTCTTCTCACCAAAGTTTTCTTCCTCCGCAAGTTATCACTCTGTTTTTTTTTTAGAAGTTTGAATTTTAAATGCCTATTTTGCTTAGATGCTTGAACTTTATACTAAATTACCACCTAACTTTCTCCATTAAATATTTATCCTAAAATATCTTGTTAGAACTTATTTCTTTAAAGGTACAATTGTTGAATGTTTATATCTTTATTTTTTCAGGAAGGAACACAAGACCATGTTCAAAAGCGTTAAGGATTTGAGGCACTATATTGGAATTAAATTTCTTAGCAATCGTTATTATTTCTCGCTTAAGAATGTTTTTGATATCGGATTGAATATTAACAATTCGGCAGAAGCGGAGTTTGAACTTGTAAAAGCAAGCGCTATATCTTTACATACTATGAAACCGTTATCTTTTTATCAGTTCGTCAATTCGTGCTTGAAATTAAGGAAACTATCATTTTGAACAATGTCATTTATGAGAAACTAATTTTCATTTTTAATTTTAATTATGCGATGTTGTCCCCTTTAAAACTCTAAAGAGCGACTTCTCTTTACTTATGACCCGGCAGTTATATGCAAATAACCTTCTTTACATAATTTCAATTCCTATAATTTTAAGGCATTATATGAGAATGTTGTTCGTGCCGTTCTTTTATACGCTCGCATTAATGGTTTCCTTCTACTTCGATGCATAATTGACAATCCAACCTTTGATACGACCATATATGAGGTATGTCTTTACTTATTTCTTCACTTCAGGACTTTTTGCATATTTTTTCACCTTCATTTTTTAAATGAAATGTCTTCAATTTCAGAAGGATGATGTCATACGCGAAGTGCGTTTTTTAAAATCAATTTATAATGAAGCAAGAAATTCCACATATTTACAACGACAAAGAGGTCGGAGAGAATTTATCTCCTGTAGTTTTCTTTTCGATATAGTTAAATTCATCAAGAGAAACGAAGTTTATAATCTTCTTGAGGTCAGTTATTAAACAACCTTTCCATACAGGAATTTTTTCCACTCTTCTTCCGATCATTTTGATCATTTAGCTGCTATTATTTGCATAATTAGGAAAGTTCTAGTGCGTTCTTGTTTCTATGTCTTAATTCTTCAAGGATTTATAAATACTAGTAATTGTCTTTAATTATTTTTCTTATTTTTTCCTTAATCTATGAAATGATGCAAGAAAACCATTCCTTGCTCAATCTGTTTCAGAAGGGAGTTGTTAAAACAATCGAGTCATACAATTTTTTCGATCTGAATTTATTCCTGGTTACGCCGAACGATGTTGAGAAGCTATATGAAACGGTATGTTCATTAATTACTGCTACGGTCAATGAGTAAGAAAGCTAGTTATAATTAA